CAATCCACTTCCTCACGAAATGGACAATTGAATTTCTAAAACCTCCCCGCGGCAAAACCTTTGTATTCATTTCAGTGATGATTTCACCCCAAATGGGGCAAAAAGTGCCGCAGCGCCCAAACTGACTTTTGGGGTCATTTTTGCACCCGGTAAAACAATTTCCCGCCATTTTGGTCAGTGGTCGTTACCTGCCCAGCCAGGGTGCAAAAATGAAATGAAAAGTCATTTTGGGGCCCGTTTGGGGTGAAATGACTACAAAGGTTTCGCCACGGAAAGGTTTTATAACTTTTCCCAAAAAGAAAAACAGTTGTGCTTGAGGCTTTCAGCCAATAGGGTGCCGCCACGATCAGGATTCAACCGTTGTAAAGTCCCTCTACGAGTGTGCCCTCTCCTCTCTGTGAAACACGGATCCTTGGCTTGAAGGGACCTCACGAGAGTCACTTGGAGCTGAGGACAAAATGGTTGGGGAATCATATTTCACCAAGGATTGGCTGGGGAATCCTAATTCCCCAAAGATTCGTCCTTTGATCGTTTCACTTTTTTTTGAGGAATTTGGTCTTTTAGGACGCGGTGTTGTGACGCTCACGCCCAGCATGACTTCCTGATCGGAGTGGGATGGGGGCCCGGAAGTGCGAAAAGGGGTGTGCCAAGGATTTTTGGTGGTGGGGAATGCGCTCTCGAGCTCGGTCGATATCCCACGCGCAGACACGTTCGTTTCCCACCGGGTACGGAAATTCAGGGAGTTCTCCCCTGGGCTGTGCGGACAGACTCACGTGTTCCCAATACTCCCGGAATTCCTGATCCCTCAGACACTCGCGGTCAGTAATGCGAAAAGGGAGTTCGATGTTCATGCTGCGGGGTGAACAGGAAACTCACTCATTCAAAAAGTTGGGCCGAGTACAGGTTCTGCAGACACTTGTGTATGTGACGCGCAACCTCACGCCCTGTGCTGTCTTTCGTCCGGAGTGCTAGATGTGCGGACAGAGGCCCAAAAAAACAGCAAGATGGGGTGTGGCAAGGATTTTGGAAATTGAGTGTGGGGACACAGACGGAACTGAAATCCCCCGTGTGGGTCCGATGAGGTAAGTCGATCATTTTTCGAGCGACGCAAAAATGCACGCGGAAGTGTGGTGCGAGAGGAGAGAGACGTACGAATTAAATCCAGAAAATATTGTCGAGCTTCCCATCGTGCTACGGCCCGTCATTTAGAGCGAAAGGGCTTGGGCACGCTGCGCGTGTCCCTTGCGCGGCCAGTGGGGTTCTACTGCCGTCCACGGGATGACGATCAACTCGTTGAATGGCAACAATATCAAGTAAGGTGGGAAGCGCGCATCGATAATGACAAACCTAGCCTCTACGAACCCTGAACAACGATGTGCCGGAGGGAAGTAGTATCGTCCGCCGATTTGTGCAAAGGCTTCTCGTACGTCTCACTCGCGTACACGTGTCCTTCCCTCGTTGTAGGGAAAAGGCCGTGTTGAGACGGGAGGTACGGGAGGCTGGTGCCCGATCGGAGGGTACTTTTCAGTCCACATATCAATCAATTGCAAAGACCTTGAGACGTCATCAAGAAAAGAAAACAAAAACACTCGTGCAACCCCCAATCAATCCTTTTCTACACGAGAGAGAGAAAGAAAACACTCATCAGCTTGATCATGCAGGTAACTAACGGATCGACCCGCGGCTTGGGTTTAGTGAGCCCACGCGACTTTGATCCAAGGCGCCTTGTTTCTCGAGTCCGCCCTGTGACTCGGTTGCTGATGTTGTGCAGCATAAGGCAGATGGTATGCGCAGTACATTCATAGCTACAAATCTAAACACTCTTGCATTCTCGAACAAAATCCCGACGACAATCGTCTAATCAACGCAAAGAGACGCACATCTCCATACATTCATTCACTGTGGAAGGTGCAAAAATGAGATATGCACAGGGACAAAAAGATGGATCGCTGAACAATACACACGCATCCACCGTTCACAAGACAAGAAGACGGGGGTTCTTGCTTAGGGGGACTACCTAGGAAACTAATGGAAGAGTTCCGGAATAAGTTCTTTCACATAGAAACAACATGCCGATTCATTCCATCCAAGAGAGAGAGAGAGAGAGAGAGAGAGAGAGAGAGAGATAAACATCGAGACACATCACCATTCAAGGATAGAGGAGAAGGAGGGAGATGAGGGAAGAATGTCGAGAGAGAGAATGACG